TAATTATAATCTTCATTTTATTTGTCAAGCAAAAAATTCTTTAGTTTGACAATGATGTTCAGTGTTGACAAAACATCTGTTTATTTAAACTGCTTATACTATACATTAAAATTATAACAATCAAAAAAAACAGTTTGTTTTTATATCCAACACTATTTCACCTTTTGATTGTGTACGAAAAAAGATTGGTAAAGAAAACACATAAGAATAAAATCACGTACCAATTGTATTCAAAAAATTTTCACTGAATAATATAATGGCAACTGAATAAAAATATTTTAAAAATTGAAGAAAAAAAAAACAGAAGAAAAAGACCAGTAACAATGCTATATTGAATTAGCTAAAGCATGTATTCAAGAAAAAACCTCTTTTTTTAATCCAAAAAAAAAATTGCTATAGCTCTGATAGAGATTTAAGGCAGCTTATATTGTTGCGTCAAACAACTGATTCAAGATAGCCTTAAAAAGCAGACTAAAAAAACAACTGTAAAACGATAAATGTTTTAGAAAAGCTTCATTTTTCTCCGAGATGCACTCAGACAACTGTCCAGTACCCGCTTCCGTTTTTAGAGCTCTTTGTGCACTCAGTTGAAGCCGTTTACAAACAACAAATTTCTCGTCAATGCAATATCAGGAAAAAAAAGAGGGGAAGAGGGTAAAAGAGGAAACGAAAAAAAGAAGAAAATGGACAAAATAAACTGCCCCTATAAAAAGAAGTCTAGTAAATTTCGAAAAATTACTTTAAAAATATCCCGAAAAGCGAAAAGTGGCATTTGCAAAATATACACATTAAAATTACTTGCAGCAACGAAGCTTAGACTTAAAAACTAATAAACAGTTCTTGATGTTCATCAGCAATACACATTATAACGCTTACTCTGTGTGTTGCATATTTCTGAACAATCTATTAAAAGTTGATTGATGATCAACTATACCTAATTGCTGCAGCTTCCTAAGCTCATTACAACTCTGTAACTTTATCTTGTTATATAACAAATTTGTTAATTTATAATTGGCAAAAAGTATCTCAAAAAAAAAATAAAATAAAAAATAATAATAATAATAATAATAATAATGCATTCCAGTACATGCAGGCGCTAAAAACCCACAGATGAAATCTCATTTTTAAAGCTGGATTAAAATATGCAGACTTTTTCGCATGCATACTATCAGTTTTGAATGCAATTATTTGGGTACAATGAGACAAGACAGGAAATAAATAGACGAAAAAATTTAAATATAATGTTAAGGTTTTTCGAACAACCAAAAATAAAATATATTGTTTAAAAAGTCCCAAATAAACATATCTTTTTTTACAAACAGTAAACCAATAATTCATCTTAGATACTTTTTAGCCTCTGAGTTTACAGTTTTTCACTGTAATAAGAATTTTTGACCCCCTATAAGTAATCCCTTCTTTTTTTTCGTTGTTAGTTTCAGTAAACAACAAACAAGACAAAAAATAGACAACTTACAAGAGTAGGGTAAAAACTATCATAGAAATGAAAAAACTTTCAGCAAGGCAAGCAGAATCAAAAACAGAAGAGAATCACATTTGTATAAACCTGTTCTTTTTGCTGCAGCCCCACTTTTGATACCGTCTGCTCGAGACGATGAAGCGCTGTCATCTGACACTGCGGGCCAGCAGTCTGGGCAAGAGTCTTGTAAAGAACGGGTCTGTTTTGCACCATATGAAGTTTTCAGCTAAAAAGACAGCTATTTATGTAACTAGATATTTTCAGCAAAAAAAAGTAGTTCATACAACTGGTACAAATTAAGAATCCAATAAAGTAGCAATATTCCATTATTTTAAAACCATAATCAAAAAATAAAAGTAAAAAAAGGCAAAACAGACATTTCGGAAGTTTGTTGTTAGGAATTTAATATTCACTTGTCGAACTAAACTTTATAAGATTTTGTTATAAAACTCTACTACATCCCGTTTTACACTTTTAAAATAAGTCATTTGATAAGAAACTTAGAATAAATCGGTACTTTTTGAGTGACAAATGTAGAAACGTTTTTCCACTTTCAAGCAATGTTTTTACCTGTTGCTCTGGATCGTAGTAGTCATAGAGCACAAACTGAGCAGGTTTTTGGTCCGTTACCTGATACACCATGTCGCTGTGCAGAGAGAAACAGAGGGGTGTACCTCCCAGCTAAAAAAGTTAGTAGTTTCAAAAATGAAATAGGCAACAGCTGTTTTCGAAAACGCATAGATGTTTAATAGTTTGTACAGTTAACATTTTATTACTTTTGACAGATTGATAAAGTACCGGGTTAAAGTAAAGATTCATCTTGGTATCGTCTTTATCAAGTTCAGCCCTCTGGAGGTCATTAATTTCACTAAGAGATTGAAGCTCTGTACTATCGAATTGATAACCGGTCAGTGCTTCGATTTCGGCAACCGCCATATTCGACCGAAATCCAGGTTTTGTGTAACTGTAAAAGGACCACACTGGTTAAATAAACATTATATGTCATTAAAAGATAAGTTCTTCGTTTTCAGCTTTTTGCGGGATATTTCTTTTCTTTTCAAGCGTCCCCATAACGAACGATAAGTCTCTAAAACAGATAACCACTTTAACTTTCTTTCCTCCCCCCTCCCCCATTTTTATTTTCAATAGAAGTCAGTGAAGGAGCAGAAAAACTAAACAACCATTCTCTATATTATTCACACAGAAATTTTGGGAAGGGAAGAAGGAAAGCTAACCGTTTAAGAAATTTAGAGGAGAGAGATCTGCTTAAGATCTGCTTGATAGGACGCTTCAAAAAGATGCCTAATTGTGACAGAAAAGCCGTAATAGATTTTGAAGCAAAAAAGGAGTTTTTTTACACCATAAAAAAACATGCAGAAGGCACTTGATGCAGACAAAATTTAGGATGTCTGATTCTGGCGATTGCAGAAGGGTAGTCCTTTTACTTATTAGTAAAATTGTAGTAGCTGACTTCTTAACCTTTATAGATTATTGCAGAGAGCTAAATGTCATAAAGACAAAACATTAATGTTCTTCTTTTGAATTATTTTTCCTTCATTTTCAGTTATATATGCTAGGTAATGCTTCTAAAGAGCAAGATCAGGTACGAGTTGACAGAGTCGAAGTTGCAACGTCACCAAAAACCTTTAATCGCGCATAAATCCTTTACTGAGAAGCAAAGTGAAGGATAATATGCCGACAGACGAATATCAACAATGGGAATTCTAAATGAGTCTCACTTGCAACAGAGATCCAGCTGTAGACGGCTTCCTCCATGAGACTCTTGAATTTCTTGGGTACAGAAGAATGGCACATTGTCCTTGTATGCCGCTCTGTTATACGCGTATTGTACCTGACCAAATCCAATACCACTGCCTTCGAACAAAAGATCTACTTGTTCGTCCATATTACTAAGCTGAAACGTTACATTGCATCTTAAGCTTTTTGCCTTAATTCTTCTGCCTACTCTCTAGCTACAATTACTGCACTTTCAACTGACCACATATGACTGTAAAACAAATGAATTTTCATGAGTCAGCTCGAACTGATGCTGATCTGTTCCACTTTTGACCGTAACAGTGGCGTTCAACTGTGTGCGGGTTTCAACAAGTTCAGCAAATGCTCCAAGCGCTTGTAAAGCCATTACGGTATCCTTAAAAAAAGCAGTGATTTTGCAAGAAGCAGCAAGTTATTAGTACAGGAAACGAACAATATATCGTATCACTCTAACTAATAACATTTTGATGATGCATTGAAATTATAAGCCAGATAAGTACTTGAGTACTGCTAAAGCCTCCTAGAGAATTTCGTTTTGAGCTTAACCATTTAGCAATACGAGAAGCTTCTGGAACTTGATTTGTAAGACAGTAAGTAAGAAGAGCATATGCAGTAGACTCTATAACAGCTGGTTTTGGTTGGTACCAGTATCGTTGTTTGTCCTCCGCTTCCTCGTTAGTATTTTTCACGTTCCAGTGGGTACTGTCTAAAAAGACAACCTTTTGCAGATTTGAGGAAACATTAAACGAGTATTGTTCTATATGTAAACAACTGCTTTAGAGATATACCTTCGTTATCAATTTTGTGACCATTAAGCATTCTTAACGCCATCTGCTTCTTTGGACTGTCTGCTAAATGAAGTGCGTACGTTACTACTGACAGCGGATATACATCGTCCTTGATATTTTCTAAGTGTTGTTCTAAGTAATGTTGAGCTTTCTCGTTTTTCACCTGAATTTAGAAAAGAATGAAAAATTTTTAAAAACAGAAATAAAAGTTCAGTAAAATATCTAGCCAATTTGTTTCTGACAAACCCCATTTTCAAGCAGTGCGACAAGGACATATGCTGTTAGCGCAATACCTCCTTCAGCGGCTCCACCTTGAATAAACTTCTCGTGTACTTCACCGCGTTCAGCAAACGCTCCGTTCTCCTAAAAAATTACAGAAATAAATAACTGTTGACAAACTTATAAATAAATATATACATAGAATGTGCAGCTATCAATCAGTCGAACCAAAGTTTAGTGATAGACCTGTTGCTGTTGAGCGTTCAAAAATGCAATAGACTTTTGAAGAATTTGTTCGTCAACATATATGTATGGCTGAGCCTGTTTGAATGATCGAAGTACAAATGCTGTTAGCCATGTCGAACCATGTTTTTCAGATTGTCCAAATGCGGAAAATGAGTTATCTGACCTCCTAAAGCAAGCAAATAGTGAAAGAGTTGATGATGATGACGTGCTTCTTTCTTATTGTTTCTATCCAATAACCTGTAGGTAAGCTCTCTCTGATAACCGCTTTGCATATACTTAATTGCTTTATTAACGATTTCGGGATCTTCTTGATGAACTGCTTTCATGTATCTTACTACCACGATATTAGGCACAAAGTTGATCATGTTTTGTTCGCCGCAGCCGTAAGGCGCTCTAACTAAATGATCTAAATTGGACATCACAGGTCCCATAACTGTGCCTGAAAAAGCATAAACATAGAAAAGTAACCAAAGGAAATGTCGTTTAATCTGAAGAGACTGTAAAAAACTCATCCACAAAAATTGCCACTGGGTCAACATCAAAAGCAATACTTCTAAAAAAAAGTAACTTTTGCACACTTAAGGCATGTCACTAAGGAGAAACAATTTAGATATTCAAAAGCCTGCTAGACTTGCCAGTGACTTCTACGCGAGCTGCCTTAGAACCTTCGATAGCGTCAGACGGGAAGTGCAACTCTACTTTCTTCGAGTAAGATCGCGTGCCATTCCGCAGGTCAACTATGAAAGGAACGTTTCGGTACACTCGGTAACCTTCTGGCTGAAAATGAGCGAAAACATGTTAAAGAAATTAGTATAATAACTCTCTAAAAGTGCGCAATTTTCACTCTTAACATGCTTCGTACCTCTACTTTCAAAGGGTATTCGACAGCGTCGCCTGCCTGACCAGAACTGGCAAGAACAGATAACTTAACATCACCAATTTTTGTTGGTACAATTGGAAAGTAAACTGCTTTTGAAACTCCACCTCCAGGTACCGATATCAAACGAACGTTATAATTTTTAGATTTAGACTTTTTGCTGAAACCGAACAGTATAAAAGAGTTTCTTATAATGTACGCTAACAGTATACTTCAGTCCTGTTTGTATCGATGACAATCGCCATTATTAGCGATTCTATTATCAGTGATAACGCAAGACCATTTAATATGCCTTACCTAACAACTTTCTTAGTACCGTCTTTCTGCAAGAAGTCGAAACCGGCATCCTCATCGTGTTTCAAAGTTACTGTCACCTTAAAACAACATTCTTTAGCAAATGCTGAATATGAAAAGATTATAATAAAAAAAAAACAAAAATGAAAACTGGTTCAGTAAATGACAAAAGTTACGTCTTGCTCAGTATCCATGTAATTAAACACTAAAACTTGTAGTGCAAATTTTTCTCCTCGTTTCACCGAATAAGGCAAATTCATACGAATAAAGAATGGGCGAAACACTGTCAGCTGAAAAGAAAAAGCTCTTCAAACTAATTTTTTCAGACTGTTTTATTTTCTTTTTGCTCTTTATGAGCCAGATATTTATAAGAACGTGATCTAATTTTTTGCTAAAACGTAAACCCCATTTACTTTTGATGTGGTCGGTGCAATACCTAGACCAGAACGTGTATTCACAGCAAAAGCACTGGCAATCCATGAAGTTATTGTATCTGGAGCTTCTGTTTCGTAAACAACCTCACCAGTATCACTGTAAAAGGCAACACTATTAAGCGCCCATTCTTTGCATCTTTGATCACTGAACATTCAATACAAACAGCTAATGAATCTTCTAGTTCTCAATCGCCTTCAAAATAGATAAGCAACAAAATTCTAATTTCTAATCATAAAAGAGCAAATAAATATGGCAATAAGTGAGGTCAAACTTTTACTTCACTGTTGCATCTAAAGTACTTGATTTGTTAAACTTCGCACCAATTCAATGTTCAAACGATTATTAAAACGCGGATTTGTAAACTGTCAGCATTTAGGATATTCGTATCTTGATTGTTTAGTTATAAGCGTCTCATATTTACAAGGACTTCTTAATCAATTCAGAAAGCTACACTCGACTTTAGATCTTATGTAAATAAAAGATTATTGTCATTAAAAAAGCTAATCCAAAGTAATTTTTGAATTTTCAACCAAAGAATGCCATTTTCAAATAAGACGACTGATGTTCTCTTGTTGACTTTAATTGCAAAAGAACAATTAAATAGTTAGAACGTGAATTTTTCGAAACGTCGAAAAGTCAGAAATTTGCTGAAGATCATTAAAGAGTAGTTTTTCCAATATTTTACCGTTGTTCAATTTCGTTTTTTTCTTTCGATTTTGACATTGCTAAGAAAGCAGAAGAAAGAGGAAAGGAAAAAACTCCAAATTCCTAACAAATTTTTCAGAAAACAAAAAAAACTACTATTTTTATAAGAAATATGATACAAACCTAATTTCTATGTGAAACAATATTTACAGAAATAGATATTCATATGAGCGCAAAACTTTCATAAAAGAAGTTCAAATTCATGCTGTAGCAACCTATTTCACGTGCCAATTTCCTGCTACAAAAAGCTTTGATTTTCAATTTTTTACTTTTTCTATCCTAATATTAGCTTTTAAAGAATAAAAAAAGAAGTTTTATCAGAAAGATTAGGAAAAACAGTTTCCAGCAGTCAGTTTCTTAAGTAATAACAATTGAAATAAACTATAGATAAAAGTTTATTGTCACAGTTCTCTTATTGTTACAGGAAGGCAGATTTCTAATGTCAGCCTTGCTATTTGTTAGGTAATACCAACATCTGGTTGAAAACTGATGAGTATCTACTCTCCTCTTAAGACATTTGAAAATCTAAAGAGCGTAATCCAGTCACCAGAAATAACTCAAAATTCTTTCTTGTACTACCAATGCTTAAAAATTCCATGACCAACCGTGTCTAGAATTTTTTTATTTTGCACCTGTTTTCCCACCCCCCCCCACCCCTCTT